TCCATAGATGCTCCACAGCCTCAAAATAAAAAATCAGGTGAAATGGCGTCCTTTAACAAATTTCTGGCGTCCTCTGCACAACAAAAATTCACAGCAGGTCCGCTCCAATTAACCACCAAACGGGAAGTAACTTCCAAAACGCACGTGAACTGGCAACAGGTAGGTAACGCGATTACTTAGATGATTGGGGGGGAATGACAACGTCATCATCCACCAATCCCAATCAAACGGCCATGCGCGACACAGATAATAATTTTTACACGCATACGCTACGAATTTTTGCGATGTTTAATCTCAATTTCTTTAATTATCATAAATGATAATATATCCTCAGCGCTGCCTAATAAAAGATAAAACAATTTTTCGCGTTACAAACTATCTCGAGAGAATAGTAACTCTCCTCTAATAATTCTTATCCTATTTTTCATTAATTGCCAATCAGCCTCGTGTTCAGCAAACTGCGTCACTTCCGTCGTAATTGAGAGCTGGATTGTGGCTCCATTGTCGACCAAATCAAAAATCCAGTTATCATCACAAATCCGGAGTTCGATGACATCTCTCGGCGTCCTGGGGATCCGTGCGATGTCCTCAGATGGAGCGCAGTGGCGCGTAATTTAATTCAAAAAATAAAACAAAATAAAATCAGTCTAATATTCTCGTCTCTCTCAGGACTCTCGCCATCGAAGGTGACCTCCCGTCTGGTGGAAGTCAAATAACTAACGCGAAACGGTCGAGAACCAGTAACTGGTAAAAATACCACGTTACAATTGGTAGAATACGCACGTAGATGGCGCGTACGGTACCAGTACGGTGCAGTACGCCATACTCACACCGTACTAATATCGTACGCGTTCGTCTGCTATCTGGGTACCTAACTCTCAGGAAGTGATTAACATTTAATTTCGCGACGGAAAGGGGAAATTTACGGAAAGAAGGATTTTACGCGGCTCAAATGTCCCTCTCCCATGCTACTTATTGCTACCTAATTTCTTTTTTCCCTTGATATTCCGAGTCCGTTGCCTACTTTATTGGGTTTTCCGAGCTCACCGAAGGGCCCTCAGGACGGACCCAGCTATCTCTTGATTTTTCGCTACCACTTTTCGTCTTTTCTGCTACCCTTTAAACAGGTTGTATGACTTGTATCGTGACATTTTCCCGGTGAATGGGAACTGCCCATTACCTTCGCCCTACTTCCCCTGAGCCTAACAAAAACCTGCTAAAATTTAACCTTATGGGCGCCAGGTAATTTTTGACCGGAATTACCAAACCGGAAAAAGTCCGTAATCCTAAACTTAACTGACCTCGATATTCGATTCACCGAAAATCGTAACTCAAACTCTTAAAACTCCAACCCTAAAACATACTCAAAAATCAAAAAGGGAACCTGAAGGGAACGGAAAGGATAGTTAGGCTTTTGGGGAAAGGTGACGGTCCTGGGGTCGCTCAGTATGCCTGTTGTGGAGAGAGGGGTGGATTGTAGATGGGGGTAAGGTTATGGCAAAATCGGGAAAAATATCAAAAAGAAAGGAAACGGGAGGCGAGAAATAAATTAAAGCAATACAACATTGTCCTTACGTGTTCCGCTATTCATGTAAAAATTCGGTACAATAATAATAAATGATAACGATTTAATTAGATTAATCTGCTTCCCAATTTTATTAGCAATTTATAATTCTCTCTAATTATCAGAATACCAGCAACATCCCCAATTATAACTTTAATTATCCCCTTAAATCATCGCGGAATATGAATCCTCTAACAAAACCCTAAATACTATTTCATTTACTTTTCTGAATCATCGCCAGAAGAAAATAAATTATTTAACCAAATCTGAAATATTTTGCGGACCAATTCACATTCCCATAAAATAATCCCACCGGAACGCGGCCTCAAGGATTATCGATCGGCGATAATCCGAGGAATGCCGGAAATTTTATTTGCGCCCGGGAAATCGATAATTTCCCGGAATCGGGCCCTTGACGCGGGAGTGCGAGCGAGAGAAAGAGAGAGCGAGAGAGAGAACGAGCGCGTTACGCTCCACCGCTCGATTAACGGTGAGAGATAACCCAACATCCAAAAAAAAACCTCTATTCCTTCAAAAATCGATATCTCGAAATCCACCGGATGGATTTCGGAAAACCCGGAGCCATTTGACTCGGGACATTATCCCGAACATTCCCACAAATTTATTCGCGTAAATATTGGTAATTAACCACGCTAGGCCAATTAAACGCCACGTGGAATTTTAATGCATAGACCACACTTGTTGCGCGTACCACTCGATGGCTGTCCCGATGACGCCATGAGGGAAAAAAAACCCCTGGCCCGTCGTTGGCCGGGGATAATTCACGCAAAAATCCACTTAAAATTACCCCCAAAACCCCATAACTTACACCGATAACCTCCCAACCGCACTGGGGGATAGAGTAAACCGAAATTATTCGGTAACACCCTCCACAAACTTCTCTAAAACCATCCAAAATTTGGGGGACACAACCGACGCCATTTCCATGGCTCGGAAAAATTCATCACCGCCAATTAATTATTGGGGAGCCGCCAAAAATAGGGAAATACTCAAAATAAACCGTAAAAACTCACGGTGGGTTTTCTTGCTGCCCTCCTCTTACGTCTCAGGACCATCCTGGTGGCAGCTAGTGTGCTGGTGTCCTGGGTGAGGCACTGTATCACTCTCACTACTCGCTACTTTTTTTTTTCTCACGTGCGTGGTGTTTCACGGTCAACGCGTCACTGTTTTTCGGAGGTCAGTGTCGCGCTGCGCTGACCCCCTAATCACGCCTACCAATCGATCGGGTGTCTATTGGTGGATCCCTCTACCTTATTCTGGGTCAAGCCCTTCGCGGGAGAATTAATTCAAATTTGAATTAATTCCCCATCACTAAAATTAATTCCACCATGCTTATCTCCTCAGGATCGGTTCCCCTGGATTCTCGGGACTGAAAGACCTTAATCCCTAACCTTAACATAATATTTCTAATCTTAACCGTTAATTAATTTTTGGCAATCCGCCGAGATAACGACTGATTTTGTGGGGTAGTGACTGAATCTACCCCCTACGACCTTCCACCCGTAATCAGTCTTTGGCAATCCGTCGGGGTTGTTAATACTTTTATCCCGTACGGCCTTCCACCCGTACCAATCAGCCCCTTAAACCCTTTCACCTGGAGCGCCGGCGTTTTTAGCCGGACCTAACCCGATCCTGAACCTTAGCCTTAACCTAATTCGTTTACCCCTAACCCACCCCGGAGGGGGAAAGTAATCATTATTTTAACGCGTACACATAAACCGTTCCCCTCTCACTCTCTTTATTATTATTTCTTTTTGGGGATAATAACGGGCATACCCGATGCTCGTTACAGACTTTCGCTGGGTAATGCAATCATACTCACAGAGACGTAATTTTGTGGATTCCTGTTGGACATGGCACCACGATCTTTTCGCTAATTAAATTTTTATGGTTGGAATCTCCGAAACTCGCGAAGCTCACTTCCGCAAACTTATGATTGCATTACCGAGCGAAAATCACACAACCTGTCTAAAAGGTAACAGAACAGACGAAAAGGGATAGCGAAAAATGAAGAGATAGCTGGGTCCGTCCTATGATTGCTTCGGTGAGCTCGGAAAACCCAATAAAGTAGGCAGCGGACTCTCTCTCTCGGTTGAACCTCACGCTATCTCTCTCACCCGTCTTGCCTAGAATATTGTGCAGTTTCCTACCTTTCTTGTCTGGATCACAACATACAATTAATTTCTGGGAATTTTCGTTCAACCCAGTCTCCCTTTTTTTTCTCTAATCTTTAAGACTTATTATTTCATGGTTAACTTGGCGTCAATGCCTTCTTTTTACGTCTTTAATTATGCCTATTGGTTATTATATAGAATAACAGCGATTATCATTATCATGTATTATTTCTCGGGATTGGCAATATCTTTTACTCTTATACTGAATTTTATTCTCAATGGTGCAACTGGTGAGCATATTTTTGACTAAACTTTAATTTTCCTACAGGAATTCCTTTTCTTACAAATTTTCGAATTGAGGTTAGTTTGTTGAGACGATTCCAGCTTTGATAATTGGTGTTCTCGTCCACGAATCCACCCCTCTTTAGAAGACAAAGCCTACTAGAAACAATTGAAAACTCTCTAAGAGATAATTTTCGAAGATCTTTCGCAGATTTTTTTAAAAAGATCTTCGGAACACAATTTTTTTCCAAGATCTTCTAAAGAAAATTTTCCTCGAAGATCATTGGAAGATAATTTTTGATTGAAGATCTTGAGAAGATAATTTTGTAACATTTTGTGAAATGATGTTCTCATTGCGGGACTCAAAGAGCGTCGATCAAGATGCTCGAAAAGAACCGCACTGAGGGACAAGGAGCGACCGAGGAAGACAAGTGAGCCCTTCAATGGCTCGCGAGTCGATCGAAATCGTTCAGATCAACTTGCATCACAGTAAAAGTGCCTGGGCTATCTTATACCGGACGCTTGCTGGGATGCAAATGCAGATTCTGCACTGAAAAAAAAAGGGAAAGTTTACACATCCCGTGCGACCGTCCGGCATTAGCAGCGATGAGACTACGTTGGTGGGACACTGCTTTCTCCACCACTAGTCAAGTCGCGAGCAAGGAGGCAACAGATTTGTTAAGACTGGCAAAGAAGGCGGAGCTGGACATATAATACGAACCTCAAAAAAGCGAAGCTACAATAACTCTAACTTGAGTTCGGTAGCATTGGAGAGGCCAGTCCGATCCTCCGCGTTTATTAATCTAATCTAATCTAATCTTGGGAAATGATCGTCCAGGATCATTTGCGACATTTGTGGATTGCGGGAAACAGTTTCTAGGGTCCCAAAAAATATGTCCAAAAAAATTTTTTAATTAAAGCTGAGCGGATCTTTATGGACATTTACCCAAATCACTTTTAACCGTTCGGGTAGTGCATATCCTCGCTAAAAAAGGGATCAATTTTGACATCCGAAATACCTTTTCAACGTTGACGTCTTTGCTATCCTTAGCCATTATGATATCTTCTTCAGTTCTCAAATAGAAGCGCGGATGTTCTTCAAGTTCGTCTAGTTTGTCCATCATTTTCGAATCTACATCGTAAACTTCTCCAAGAACTTGCTGAAGAATAACACCAAAATTAAATAATTACTCAATGCATATATTACAACATAAAGTGTACAGATCATCTCGCGGAATATGTAGATGTACTTACATGTCCCACCCCTGGTTGCTTTAATAAGAAGGGAATGTTGTACTTAGAAGCAATCACCAGCGGATATTTATTTAGTGTTTTGCCAATACCGATAAATTTTGCATAACCATTTGAGCTACTGATAAGGAGCTCATGATTCGGTTGCCCAGACTTCAAAGTACCATAGACGAACACGCGTTTCAGTGGACTTCTAAACAAACTCTCGTACATGTCGGGCGACTCCTCACTGACCTTAAAAAAAAAATTCAAACGACACGAGTGAGTGTAATCATCATTATCAGCGAAAATCATAACAAAGCCGTGCAAAAAAAAATTGATGCCTACTGGACACAACAGTGTCAAGCGGGTTAACGGCAATGGAAACGCTTCTCGACGCATACTCCGGTTCATAAATTTTTTCCCATATTTTCGTTTGGTTTAGAAACAAAAATTGACGACATGAAAATGGCCCAAAATTTCTTTCAGCTACCAAGGGAAGCGGTGTTTTTGCATTTTTTTTTTTTCAATCTCATAATTTTCATCACAATTGACGCAGAGTGTCATACAATGCGCAGAAATCTTATTGATGATCCTATCTGTATGAATGGGTATTGTTACATCAAGCGCGAGACCGCATTTTTTTCATTAAATCGGCTGGAAGCACGCTTCACACGATCTAGTCAGGCAGCGTGAAATTTATACTTGAATCATTGTTTTTAATTCTCATTCTTTATTTTATGAATTCTATTAAATATTTCTTTCCTTGTATGCCTCTTCAAGGCACCTACTTCCGTTTAATTCCACGAAATCCACTTTGCTCTGTGAACAACTTGACCAATGTAATAATGAAATCGAACTTCCGATGATTAAAATGAATGGACCAAATGAAATGTCAGTAGCTTTGGTAAATGTCTAGTTCAAGTCCACCAAACCATTCTGGATGTTCTTTATTTGGTCGGATGGGTGTCCGTAACCTGATTAAGGATCTGGTCACCTTTTTATCCGGAAACAATTAGTGCGGGAGATATGACGTTCAATACACCGCTCTCTGCATTATCCAGGGCCACGGCGAGGACGTGGCGACTTGTCGGCGACAAACACACCACATGTTAGCACATTTAAGGACAATGGACACACAGAAAGATGAAGTTATCTAATAGTCCTGAGCACTTCACTAAAACTCTGAATTCACCTCTCCCGACCATCTACCATCGCTAAACGAACACCACGGGTGACTTATCCACACCCTTCTGTAGCTATTGAAATATTGAATTAAATCTCACTCACTTTTCAGGGACAACAGAGTTTACCTCAGGACTATTTATCGATGTATTTCCCTCTTTTTTTTTGTCTCTCTTCTTTCGTCTTGTTCTTGACGACTGACAGGATAGGAATGGTTTTTATTCAAAGAAATCCACGTTTCAATGATTTTTGTTTTGTGGTGGACCTTAACCATACATTTACCAGAAACTTTGATATTTCACTTTATTTGCATGGAAAATAGACTTATCCCACAAAAATTCAATTTCGACAGAAACCTATGAGAATCGATTTGTTTCTTAGACCTCCCGTAAGTCCGAAAAAACGATCGCAATTGTGCACTTCATCTCTCAACTGTACGCTTACCGAATAAGCTTCACAACGGATGTGTGATTACCGTTAGTGTAAATCCAGAAGCCTTGAATTCGGTATAAAGCTATTCCAAAAATACAAAATTTCGATGTGGTGATTTGTGAAATTTGACATATAAAACCCATAACTATTCACCAAATGAATTACATGAGAACCATGAGGCATGATTCTGAAAATCACGTTGAGATTCTTCAAAGCGGTAAGTGATAAAACCACATTAGTCATAGTCATGCAGGTACATGGACACGTGGAATATCGATGCTCCTGTTACGTCCCTACCATATGCCCTACGATGGCGCTAGCAATTTTTTCTACCTTATTTAATCGACTGTCGAACCTTACCGACACTTAGTACATAAGTCCCAAAATTAACAAATATCTTATTTTTAATTTCATCAATTACTAAATTATCGAAAATCGTTATTTTAGAAATTCGAAACATCAAACATATTTTTTCGTGGGAAAAGACTAGATTTTAAATGACCTTAATGCACACGTGCATAATAAATATTCCAGAAACGAAAAACAGAATTTCCCTTTTACATCCGTACATCGTTAAAAGCACCGAAAACTATTAAAAAAACCAGATAATTTTCAAATCTCTAAAAAGTTATCGGAACATGGCGAACCCCGGAAATCCTAAAGTACCATAAATTCTAAAGAAACCCTCTCGAATCTCAACAATCCGTGGGATCAGAATTTTCCCCAAAGCTAAAAACGCAGCTGCATTTTAATCACCAAAACTCCAATCACAACCCTCCAACACGAAAGCTGACCCAAAGTCAACCGTCTCGTCTCCCTACCACCTTCATTCAGCCAATCTTATCGTCTAACAGAGGGTGCGCACGCCCTCGCGAGTCTCCCACAGCATTTTCCACATATGTAGATTCAACCCGATAAACTCTCTCCCAACAGTCCTTTAGATCACTTTTATTTCTAATTCAATTCCGACACAGTCAAGTTCTAACTCTGACTCAACTCTGAAGATTTAATAATCTTCTCTTCAAATCCAAGTCACCATATTTCACTAAAAGTAAGTCAAAAGGATTTCTTTAATTCAAAGTGTTCGTAATCATATAAACTAGTAAATCGCGCTTTGTATAAGCTAGTTTAACGAGAATTGTGAAACCAAGTGTAATTAAGTGAAGTTTAAATGTGAATAAAACTGTTACAATTTTAGTTAAATCAACTCGTGTCTTAATTGATCAGCCACGCATAGTGGCCTTGATTATTGGAACCTACTTAAGGAATATAGCTATCCACTGACAACCGGAGTTATCTCTCAAAGGTGTCGATCTATTAAAATCCTAACTTCTCGACATCTATAGGGACGTAACATTCCAAATCAGGGATGGGCAACCTCCAGGTAGCTCGGAGCAGAGTCATAAACTCGCGTTAGGAACCCAATAAAGTTTATAACTATGCTAATTATAAAGGTCCTAGCACGACCATGGTGGGGACAGTAGTGAGGGGTCTTACAGTCACTATATTGGGGAGCATCCCACGACGCCTCTGCCAAATGGTAAACTGGGGAAAATGGCCGCTGCGATTAATAAAAAAAGAAATTTCCAAATCCACACATGGCTAAAAACTTTTCTGAATATGAAAATAACTATTACGCATTGAAATAAACATGAAATTACTCTTAAAATGCAGCTTCCCGAATTGTTGACATCTTTTAACTTGCTTTTTAAATTTTTGGTCCAATAGCAACCTTACCGAAAAATATGTCAAAGAAAAACTACCAAACCTTGCAGCTTTTAACGGCTGATGTTGATTCTGAATACAAAAAATGAACATTTTTTGATAATAATATTTTTTGCAAATGTTCTTCAATTACCATTTTTTATTCCAATCAATTCTATTTCTTGAATAAATAATTGCGGGATAACTGCAACATGACATTGTGGAATTTGTTCTTTGCCTCTGAAATTAAACATGCGGTTTTTACATTTTATTTATAACGTCTTCTTTCAAAATAAATAAAAATATCACGGTGAAGAAAATTTCACATTTTCCATTTTTGACTCATTTCTCCGCCTTTCCTTTTCTTCGGCGACATTGCTCCTCTTTTCCTTTTTTTAAGTGTTACCCCCACTTCGGTCGATTTCAGCCGAGGAGAAGGGCCTTTACGACCTAGGCCATAAAGGCCCATTAGCTGACACAATGGGCTTTCGTCTACCCTTTCTTATGTACTAATAGAGGTCGGGAGCACAAGTTGCTCTCAGAGCAGAGGTTGCCCATTCCTGCTTCAAATAATTGTTCTCTACATCACTCCGACCCAGAGAATTAAAGACATAATAAAATTCATACATAGAGCATTACTGCCATATGCTCCCTCTGGTGCAGCAGAATTAGGAGAAGATTTGCATACTATTCCGATGATTTTAAAGGGTAACTTTAATGTCAATTTTGCCTTGGAAGAAGCTCAACCACTTCTACAATTTTTAGAAAGTGAATTTAATAAAAAAAAATGAATAATAATCCCACAGACTCAACAACCAGATCAGACAGGACAATAGATGCAATTTTCTCACGATATTGAAATAATGTATAATCACGAGTGTGCAGTTCATATTTTTCATACCACAAACCAATTGTATCATTACTTGAACATGAAAGTATGGGAGTGAATGAATAAATTTTTTATAAATGGAGGTGAAAACATCAGCTATCTTTTTTCATTAACCGAAGACTCCCAAAAAAATCCAGAATAATGAATTGTGGCTACTGTTATCGGAGAAATATTTCTATCTGATAAAACTTGCTGCCTAGGGTGAGTATTTTCATTTCAAGTACCCTTCGAGATCCATGAAATGAAGCTTCACTTCTATCACCGAGCTCTCTAGACTGACAATTTTTTTTGAAAAAAAGGTATTATTCGTGTTCTTGTGGGAAATTTACATAATCGTAGAAAAATGTACAAAAATGCTCTTATCGTGATGAAACTTTGCACATAGTTGAAAAAAGATAAAAGGCGCAATCATTATACTTTTTTAAATTGATCAGTTCAATAATTTGGAAGAAAAATTTGAAAACTGTAACACTTTTCCCTTATTTTGTCCCGGAGATCGGGGATAGTTATTGCCCTCGCCCGTTCCCATAATCGCATCCTAATTTCCTAATCGAATTAATGGACGCTACCTAGCTTTTTGTGGACCAAAAGCAAACCAAAAACAAAAGAACCTAAAGAGAATACGCAGGTGGAGTGCTTTCGTACCCGAGGTTGGTCATGCACTCAAAATCCGAAATCTTAAATATCCGAAAAGTATCCGTAAACAACAATACGGAGGGACAGGACGAGTGGGGTTGGACCTCCTCCTCGCGACAACACAAAATCCATAAATCTATAAAATCCATAAAACGTATGTTGATTTTAGCGGATTTCCCCGTACAAAATCCACTCATTCTAAGTTTTATTGTATCATTTAAGTAAGGATAGTTTATAGTGACATTCTTTTGGATTTCCCTTGGTTGTAAAAGGAAGGGAAATGCCCACAGTCCTTCCTCAGTTTTTATAACATTTGGATATTTCCAAAATAGAATCTGATGACCAAAAGGGATCAGAAACAGGAAAAAGGGAATATTTTAGAGGGTTGAAATGATATTGCCCTCTTCGG